TTTTTTTAAAAATTGCCATCAAGTCAGTTCTGACTCAGTGACCCTATGGGGCAATGTAGGAAAACCATAGGGTTTCCAAGACATTCATTTATGCAGAAGTGGATCTGCTCCATCTTTCCCCTGCATTTGAGTAGCCATCCTTTCAGTTAGCAGCCAGGCACTTTCAGCGGTGCTCCACTGGGCTCCTGTAGGTCATAACGAATGTGCATGAAAATGCAGCTCTGCGTGAATACCTTTCATCAGAATGTTGGCTGGTGTTATTTTCCATGATTCCACAATTGACCTTTCCCTTAAACTTCCCCCTGGTTAGAGTTGCAGCTAAGCTGACTCGTCTTAAACAAGGGGGCTTCACAAAGTTTGTGGAGAGTGGAATTAAGAGGGAATGGAATTGTCTCCATGATCTTTTTGGAAAGCCCCTCATGTTTTTGCTTTGTGTCGAAGCTAGTGAAGTGAGGAAAACACTGCAGCACGACCTTGGACAGTCACTTACCTTCTACAGGCCTCTCGCCTACTGTGTAAAATAGCTCTCCTGTCCACTACATAAGCTTGTTAGGAGGCAAATGTGCAATAGTCAAAAGATGCAGGTGTGCTTTCTGAAGCACACAATCACTACGCAAATACTGGAAGGGGGATCACCTGACAGATCTGCAGGGTTGGTCTCCAGCTGCTATAGAGGAATTCTTCAGTTCAGATCATTCAGGGACCCTGGTAGTATAGTGGTTATCTGTTGGACTGTGATCCAAAAGGTCTGCAGTTCAAAACCATCTGCCAGTCCTTGAGAGAAAGAAGAGGCTTTCTACTCCCATAAAGAGTTATAATATCTTGGAAACTCACAATGGCAGATCTACCTTGTCCTATAGGGTCACTAGGAACCAACATTGACTCAATGGCAGTGAGTTTGTTTTTTAATGGGCTTCTTATGTTTTATGTGTTTTTATGGGTTATTTTTCCCATTACTCTAAAATTTCGTAGACCCCCTAATATCATCTTTATTTTTATTAAGTTCTACCAAGCATATTCTCTTTTACTTAAATTCATCAGCCCTATACTGTGGAAGCAGAGTGTGTGCGGAATCCCTGCCTAGCGAGCAGGTATGTGGGAACGGGAGCCTGGCTCGTCACAGTGCAGCTCCTTTCAGGCAGGAAAGGATCGGAAGAAAAGGGATGGGGACCATTTGGATTGGTATTTCTGAGAGAATCTTCTGCTATTTAAATATGAGCTTCAGAAACCTTTTCCAGTCTCTGCTCTTATCAAACTGGTGTTTTGTTGATAGTTAACCATTTATTATATCAATTTTCTTTTTGACTCCAGATTTTGGGGAACTAAGTAAAAAATTGGCTGAGGTGTGGAAGCAATTGCCAGAGAAGGACAAACTGGTAAGTATACCTTCTGACCACACTTTGTCCCATTGCGTTATGCCTTCAAAAAGGTGTGATTTCCTATAGACAGTCAGATAGTGCTGAAAACGGGAAGAGTGGCCAACAAGAATGGGCTCTGTGGCCCAGGGCACTGGCATCTCACCCTGGGCAGAACTTAGCATCAGAGAACCCCTCTTTTCTAAACTGGTCTG